CTGAGCTATGGCATGCCCGTATGGGGCATCCTTCTTTTGATAAACTAGCACATTTGAAGGATTTTTTGGATTGTAATTTCTCTCCCCAGGATTTCGGGCATTGTGATTCTTGTTTTAGAACTAAACAGACTCGTGCTCCATTTCCTACTAGCTCCATTAAAACCACTGTGTGTTTTGATTTGATACATGTTGATATATGGGGTGCGTATCGGACGCCGGCTCTCGACGGTTCTCGTTATTTCTTGACCATTGTGGACGATTTTAGTCGTTCCACGTGGGTTTATTTAATGAAGTTTAAGTCTGATGTCGAGCGATATCTTCGGTTATTTTGTGAGCTTGCTCATACCCAATTTGGTCGCATTGTTCGACGTATACAGGCGGATAACGGCCTTGAGTTTCAGACGACTTCACTTTGGGCATTCTATGAGGAGAACGGCATCATCCTTCAGATGACCTGCACAGATACTCCTCAGCAAAATGGCGTTGTAGAGCGCAAACATCGTCATCTTCTGGAAACGGCGCGAGCTCTGATGTTTCATGCCGGTTTGCCTGTGCGTTTCTAGGGTGACTGTGTGCTCACCGTGACATACTTAATTAATCGTCTTCCTACGAAGGTTCTTGCTGGCAAAACTCCATTCGAGGTACTTCTTGGGCGCTCTCCTACCTATGCACATATCCGCAGTTTTGGTTGTCTTGCATATAGTAAGGATACTCATCGTGGTCTCGATAAGTTTGCGCCGCGTGGCCGAGCAGGGATCTTTCTTGGTTATCCCGACAATCAAAAAGGCTATCAGATTGATGACTTTCAGTCTAAGAAAATTTTGGTTTCTCGGGATGTCAAATTTATAGAGCATGTATTTCCATTCCTACTTAAAGCTGCTGGGACGCAGCTCTCTTCCAATTCACTTCCCATTGTTGAGCCCTCCATGCTACGTCCCCAACATGCATGCATGGACCCTCAAGTTGTGACTTCTCTTTTGGTCGATGACGAGCCTGCCGATACTGTGTGCACCACGCAACCAGATGCTCTTGAGGATGATATGGTTGTTCATGTGTCCGACACAGTTCCTATCTCGCCTCTTGCCGACCCTAGTACTTCTCCTTGTACTGCTTCCTCGGGACTCGACTCCACTTCCCCAGATAAGGATGTGGGCGATACCAACAAGGAGACTACTACTTCTAAGGACCTTTCACTTACCTCTTCCTCACTTGATGCTACACATATTCCCACGCCTGTTGCTCCACGTCGCAATCCCACGCGGGATAGACGTCCTCCAGCTGGTCTCGACGTCTATGTGGTAAGCTTGCCCAATACTTCCTCTCATCACGTCAATTTTCCTCTTTCCAATTACGTGAGCTATGACCGTTTTTCTGACACTTATCGTGCTTTCTTGGCGGCCATGGCAAAAATTGATGAACCTCGCACCTACGCGTAAGCTGTTCGTTATGAATGTTGGCGTGCGGCGATGATGAAGGAGGTTGCTGCTCTCGAAGCTCAGGGGACATGGACCCTCGAATATTTACCACCTGGCAAGCGCGCTATCGATTCGAAATGAGTGTATAAAATCAAGTACAATCCGGATGGTTCAGTAGAGCGCTACAAAGCTCGCTTGGTTGCTAAAGGGTTCACTCAGCTCGAAGGGATTGACTTTCACGATACTTTCGCTCCTGTCGCAAAGCTGGTTACCGTGCGTGTTTTGTTGGCTCTGGCAGCTAAGCGCGGATGGTCCTTGCACCAGCTAGACGTTAATAATGCCTTTTTGCACGGCGATTTGGACGAGGAGGTCTACATGAAGATACCTCAAGGGTTTGCCAAAGCTGGTGATACTCGAGTTTGTCGTCTTCGGAAGTCTCTTTATGGTCCCCGCCAAGCGTCTCGTAACTGGTACACCAAGTTTACTGAGGCTCTTTTGGAGTTCGATTTCCGTGTTTCACGGGCCGATCCCTCGCTCTTCCTATATCAGTCTTCGGGTGCTTTCCTGGCTGTGTTAATTTATGTCGATGACGTAGTTATTACTGGTGATGACCTTGCCGCTATTGACCGTGTTAAGGCATTCTTGCACCACCGTTTTAGCATCAAAGACTTGGGCCCGCTGAAGTACTTCCTCGGCATCGAGGTCGCACGTTCTCCTGAGGGTATTCTGCTTTGTCAGCGTAAGTATACTTTGGACATCCTCGCCGACTCTGGTATGACTGTTGTTCGACCTAGTGCTTTTCCCATGGAGCAAAATCACTCTCTACACAGCCTATTGATGACCAGACTGATGATGTCACTGCTTATAGACGTCTTATTGGCCATCTTATGTATCTCACCATCACTCGTCCGGATATTGCCTATTCAGTGAATTTACTCAGTCATTTTGTTCACAATCCTAGTCATGCCCATCTGGGTGCTGCTCATCGGATTCTTTGGTATCTTAAGTAGGCTCCTGGACAAGGTCTATTCTTTCCAGCGACAGGCTCTTTGGATCTCACTGCCTACAGTGATGCAGATTGGGCAGGGTGTCAGTTCAGTCGACGTTCCACGACGGGTTATTATATTCATTTCGGTGGTGCTCCCGTTTCCTGGCGTGCCAAGAAGCAGCGGGTTGTGTCTCGTTCATCTGTAGAGGCGGAATACCGTGCCATGGCTAGTACCACCAATGAGATACTTTGGTTGCGTTTTCCTCCTCCATGAGTTGCAGGTTCCACAACATGCTCCTACTCCTCTCTACTGTGACCATCAGGCTGCCCTTCAGATTGCCGCTAATCCTGTTTTCCACTAGCGCACCAAGCATGTCGAGATGGACTGTTACTTTGTTCGGGAACGGCGTCAGTTCAGGTGACATTTTGCCGCAAAAGATCAGGACCCACTTGCAGCTTGCCGACATTTTTACTAAAGCTTTGGGCACTGAGCAGTTTTCACACCTTGTTGTCCAAGCTTGGCATTCGTAATCTTCATGCTTCAGCTTGAGGGGGAGTATTGGCAGTGTAGTTTTGGACCTCTTTGTAGGGTGTTTATTATTTGTGTTAGTTTGGTAATTGTGCTTATTGCCCACGTTGCATGTAGAGGGTATAAGTACTTGTGTTTGCCGAGTCCTCTAAACCCTAAGTAAGAATAAGGGTTCGGCTATTGTTCCTGGAGAACTTCGTACCTAGTGAAGCTTCATTATGAGAGCTATGCTCTCCGTTGATTAGTCCCGATTTCTCGGGGATACCACGTTACATCGTTGTGTTCTTTATTCTTCCGCATTCGTTATTATTTTTCACAATGTGTTGACTCAAGCAACTCACAACCCGATAAACTGAACCCGCCTAATCCACAATCCAATAAACTGGAAAGTCAACTAACTTATAAACAGATTGAACTCAACTCAAATCGAACAACCCGAACACTGCCGATTGACACCATCTATATACCGTTGGGTCAGGGGCGGACCTACGTTGGTGATAGGTTTGTCACTGACAAACCTTGATTCAATTTTAGAATAAAATTTATTTGTAAAAATTTTGATTTATTAATGGTGGTATTTGAATTCAAGGACTATTTGACAATCCTTGTTAATTTTATTTATTGTTGAACACCCTTAATGTAATTCCTAGGTCCGCCACAGCGTTGGGTCAGGTTAGCTCTAGCTAGGGTATATGATTATTCGGTCAGGTACGTACTACTCGTGAATTGGATTCCCAATTCAAAGAGTGCGATCGGGAAATAAAATTCTATTTGGGTTTCCGTCTGTGTCTATATTTGGGTGGTAACCATGCATCATCTGGGTATCTTTCTTTGACATATCTAATAAACGAATAAACTGCACAGAAACGGATCCCAGCCAGCTGATGAAGATGGATATATAGATACAGAGTCAACTGTACACAAGTGTTCTCTGTAAATTCTGAACCAGAAATTAATGGCTGAACAGAAAAGAGGCCCCCAGAGGGGGGGCATATAACCCATTTTCAAGGTATGAAAACGTTGATCAATTCTAATGATTTTGTTTAACGAATCCAAATGGGTATGTCGATAGACCTTTTGATTCAATCCAAGTGGCTGAGAGAGAGAATGGATTTTATCTTAATGTAGTTTCATTCTTCTTTGATGGAAATTCAGCATGTTTTTAGATGCTCTGTTTTGGGTATAGTTTGAGTAAGTTGCATGGAATCTTATAAGAGCATGCAATGCTCCCCCCGCCTAATATTCCAGATCATATTTCCAAGCTGAATCGTCTAAAGCCAAAGCCCGTTGAAAAGAATCTATAGCGGAAAAGGGAAAAAGAAAAAAGGAAAGGCAGGCAGGCAGGCAGGCAAATTAAGAAAGAAGGAGCCTCTCGTTGGAAACCGAACACTCTGTTTCTCTGCCGTTTCCTTTTCTTGCCTTTTTGGGGTTATAAATAGCAGCCAAATTGATCAGTTTACTCATCATCAACACAACCAACATACAGAAGAAGCTTCCACCCTTCACCCCAGAAATTTCACTTAGCTCTGCTATCTCTCTCCATTAGCTACCAACCACCCTCTCTGCCTCTGCCTCTGCCTCTGCCTCTGCCTCTGTCAAAAAGCAGAGAGATCAAGGAAAATAACTCTGCTTTTCCCCTTAAAGTTTTTTTTTAACAAACCATATAGAGCGAGCGAGCTAGCTAGCATGGAAAACAAGAAGCAAGTTGGTGGTAGCTCCTCTTCTTCTTCAATGGATCATCTTTTTGGTCCTAAGGATTCTTCTTCATCATCTTCTTCTTCCAGCTACTTCGGCGCCATCTTCCCCCCACCTTCCACGGTACTAATCATCCAACTGTTTTTCTCCTAATTAGCCACGTTAATTAATTTTGAAAATGTTCAGTTCATCAGCTGATTTTGGGTGATCATTGTAGATTATGGGAAGGGACGGCGGTGGTAACAAATACGCCGGAACTACTTCTCCTTCTGCAGGTATATAGATTGATATATGTCCTAAACTAGGAAGGATAATTTGTTTCAGTCTTACTAATCATACAGTACTAATGTGTTGATTATATATGAATTTGGCAGAGAATTACAGCGCCCGTCATGGAAAGGAGAAAAACGGCGGCGGTGGACATGGTGGGACGGTGGAGCCGTCGTGCTACTTGAGCTCGTCAATCTACTACGGCGGCCAAGAGAATTACAACTCCTCTTCCTCCCCGCCGGCCCACGGGAACCCCTCCGCCGCCGCCCGTCACAACACTACTACCGACGACCCAAATGGCAACAACAACAACGCTAACTCTGCTTCTAGAGGCAACTGGTGGAAAGGTATACCTTTTGATTTCATTTCTGCCCCTTTCTCAATTGCATACATAACACACTAAACAGGATCTCTTATCATGCAGGTTCGCTTTATTACTGATCTATAACGCCCGGCAACTAATGATCTAATTAAGGTATGAAGTTTGGACGTTATTGAGAAATGTTCTGTATTCCAAAAGTTTCGTTTTTTTTTTTTTTTTTGAAAGACAGCAGTATTACTTATTGATCTGTACTTGTGCTGAAACTTGGGATCATGTGCACGTGCAGGGAACCCCCAAAAGCTAAGCTTAATGCAGCAGCAAGGAGGAGGACTAGTTTGCAATTTGCATGTCTACCTACCGAAATAAACGAAGATGGAATACTAGTGTTGATCTTTATAACCATAACTATATGTGTATGGAGTGTGCTAGTGTCGATGCTGGTAGAAGTTAGCTCGGTATAGAAGAGATAGACGAGTAGTCGATCGGCTGGATGGATGAATTGTAGATCATGATCGATCATCATCATCATGCGGCATGTGAAATCGATACGTGCCGTTGTTTGTTGGGTTCTTTTTGTCCCAGCAAATTAGTTGTTGTGTGAAGTGTCTCTATCTGAGTGTTTGTTCTTTTTCAGAACTAGTTCTGTTAAAAATGCCTCGTTCACTAACTTTTGCAAATTGCAAGAGGAGAAAATGATATTGCACCACTATTGATTCGATTTGGGTTGTGACTTGTGAGAGTTGGATTGTTGGAGCTGTGACAGTGAGAGGATAGTGGGCCTTAAATTGTTGGGCTTATATTTTTGGTCCGCCCAAATTATCCATCCAATTAAAGAACCAATTCCCATTGTTGTCCAAAGAATGAAACCAATCAATTGGCAGGGTCACTTTCTTCCTTGCGGCTCCGGAGTGCAGTATACGTGTACACCATTTGGCTTGGTCACTATAATAGTTACACTACCTCATTGCTTAGATAATCATGGTTTCAATAATATTCAGATGAATATTGGTATGCAATAATGCAAATATGTTGTTTCCAAAATCCGAAAGATAGTCTGTTGTACTAAGCAAATTTCTCGCCAACCAAACCAACGAAATCCATTATCGACAAGAACAATCCAGGAAGTCGAGCGTTCAAACCAGTGGTTTTTAAGCTTAGCAGGATAGAACTTCATTTGATTCCATCTCAATCACTTCCTAATGGCATTACCCCAGATCAGAAAGCTGGCAACTGCCAACAAATTCAAAGGCCAGATCTGGTCTTTCCGGTTAGGTTGCGGATTTACTCGAAACCCACTTTCAGAGGGTTAAAATCAACAAAAAATGATAAAACTACACAAAACCAACAGCAAAGCAAACATTTTCACTTCTTATGATCCAATCATTATTCATTATTTGGGATAGATCTGGATGTCACAGCAGTAGTACATATATGCTTGAGCTAGATCAACTAGCAAGCAACAACTCTGTAACACTCCAGTTCATCAGCACAACTAAGTACATAAAACATTATACAAAGGTCACCACAGAGTCGACAGTTCCAGCTGCATAACTTCAAGGCAATGTGTAATCTGCAACATGAAACACAAACGAACCAACAACGATCAGATATAGAACCAACAGAATCTTAGAAAAGAAAAACAGAAGGGTTTAATCTTTGCAGCAGAAACAAACTGACCTCCACACTTGTAACCCACAGGGCGGTCAGCGAGGTTGCAGCGTTTGGGAATGGCCATGGCAACCTCAGGCTTCACGCCAGAGCTCTTCGCAGTGTTGGAGAGCATCACAGCACACAGGCAAGCCGGGTTCTGGCCGAGCTTCTTCACTTGAGCGCAGCACTGGCTCGAAACAGCAGCGTTCTGATCCTGTGCAGCCGACGCACAAGGAGCCAGCTTGAAAGCTTCCCTGTCAGGGGTGGTGGATTTCCCACACTCCCCTGCTCCATCCACAGCAGCAAACCCAGATATCCCAAGAAACACAGCAAACACAACAAGGCACATGCAGGACTTCATTGAGATGCCAGCCATGGCTATTTCTTTCCTTTTTTCTTCTCCTCTCTTGCTAATTTCCTTTTTCTCTTCACTCTCAAGTACACTACTACTTCTTTGCTCCACGGTTTGAGCTTGTGATCGTTGAAGGGTTTTATAGAGGGACTGAAGGGAATGAAAACTGCCAAGGTGCTTACACGTTGAACTCCATAAGCATCATAGTGGCGATAGCACTACTATGAATGTGGCAAAAATAAACTTTTTTTGTTTAGTTGAGCTACCTACTGCTTTCCA